GGGTGCATTGAAAATGCATTGCCCCAGTGCATTTAAAACGCATTGAAAACGCAAAATAAAACAATTTCGCTATTCCCTTCCTAAAGGGATTTCTATGTCATAAAGCTACTGCCTGAGAGTGGTGCTCTTCGCAACTGCTTCTGTCTCCGATTCCTCGAGCCTTTCCTCTTCGATGCAGCAAGCAGCTCAAACAAAGCACGGCCTGGCCTCCCTGCTGCCGAGAAGGGCAGCCGCTCGGCTTCTGTTGAGGCGTGGCTTGGTGTGTCGATCTCTCTGACTCTACTTTGAGGGAAGCACGCTGCGCCATAGTGTGGGTACCTGCTACATTTGTAGGGTCGGAAGACTCGTTCAAGGTTTCCGGGCTCGAGAAGCTTTCCTTCTTGACCAGCTCCGGGCCCAACTCGCGCTAGCACGGGACGAGCGGACTCATCGCATGAGGTATCCCACACGATGGGCGCCGCGGTTCAAGACTTCATCCAGGAGACTGCCACCAACCAGGCAACGAGACATATGTAAATCTCCGTTTCTTCTGCCAGCACTTCTGTTGAATTCCTACCACATCCTGTTCCACGGGTGTGGTTTTAGATTGCAGCAACTTTGTCTAGCTGGGTGTTTAGTCTGGATTTTGTTTTGTTTTCAGGATGCGGGGTCCTGTGGAGTGTTCTGCAAGTTTCAACGAGATGGTGTTTAATGCCGTTGGGGCCAAGCAGCGACCTCTGATTGTCGTGGGACCTTTCAATGAGGTGGAGGTGGCGAAACAGATTCTCGAGAAGCCCCCTGGCCACATGATGCGAGGTTGTGCTTCGGGCTACGTTTCACGCTCAGCGAAGCTCCATGCCCTCCTTTCGAGTGCTGCCAGCAGTTGGTTTCCCTGGAACGCCTCCCGAGTTTCTCCTTGTCGCAAATTAATTCCGGGGCACCGTTACGCATTTCAAGCCATCAGCAGCAAGTTTATCTAACATAGCACTGAAACTAGCTATGACTACGATCTGGTAGTCGTTGAGATACAAGGTGTTCCGCTGCGAAACGGATCTCGGGCTCGGGCCGCATCGGCCGTCATCGGCCGCGGCCGCGGCGAGCAGGGAGAGGCTGGTTTCTTCTCCTGTGGCTCTGGTCTCCGTTTTGTGGCGACGACAACGCCTTCTGCTGCAGGGCCGCCACTGCAACAGCCACTGCCACTGCCAGGTAACTAATTACCACTACCTGACTACCTTTGCCGCCCCCACTGCCACCACCGCCACTGCTACCGCTACCACCACCACCACCACCGCCACCACCACCACCACCGCCACCACCGCGACGAACGACTACTACCAGTACCACGACCACTGGGACACTAGGACCACCACTACCACAACTACTACGCCTGCCACAGAAAGAGCCGTATTGTTGGTAGCATTGGTAGTAATAGTCGTCGTAGTCGTCGTCATAGTAGTAGTGGCAGCCGTAGCAGGACTTGCAGCAGCAGCGGCAGCAGCAGCAGTAGAAGTAGCGGTAGCAGTTAGTAGCAGCAGCAGCAGTAGCCGTAGCAGTAGCAGGAGCAGTAGCAGTAGGGAGCAGCTGCCGCAGCAGCAGCAGCAGCAGCAGCAGCCGCGGCGGCAGCAGCAGCAGCAGCAGCAGCAGCAGACGACG